TACAAAACAAAACACACACCCAGGTTTGCACGCTGGTTTGAGTGGGGGGCTCCCTCCTTCATCCGCTGATGCACGAAGTGGTTGGTGAGGGGCAGACAGAACTGACGCTGTGAAGGTAAAGAAGAATGGGGCGGGGGGGGGGCTATTGCATCCTGGGAAGACGATGGTGTGGATCCTGACCATCCTGCGGCTGAGGGGTGCAGGGGGCTCCGACGAGGAGGGAGAAATGGCACTTCTCCTTGGGGGCCCGGGTGAAGGCCAGGGCTTCCCGTGACCAGGAGCCAGCTGCCCACACTTTGGTTTCTGTCCATGGAGACTGTGACCCCCAGAATCACAGATAATAAATGTGTTGTTTAAAGAGGAAAAAATCCTGCCCCAATAAAATATATTTTTAAAAAATAATAATAAAGAGGAAAAAATCCTTCTGCCGACCCCGTTCCTCCATAAGCTCTCACCCCGTCTCCCCTGCACGGAGCTGGGCCTCGGCCCAGCTGACCGCTGAGGGCTCCCCGCCTCCCCAGCTGCCTGGAACCCATGCGGCTGCAACCCCACCCACACATTGCCCCCCCCCAGCTTTGCTGCACCCCAGCCTCGCTGGCGCCCACTGAGCAGGGGCTGGACGCCGCCTCCCTTTTCCCAGGGCAAACACCCCGACTTCACGTTCCCAACGAGAAGGTGGGGAACCAGCACACCCCGTTCCACCGGCTGATCACGCCCAGAACCCCTCACGCTGACGCCATTAATTCTCCACTTCACCTCTCACTCCACGCTCAGGAGGTAAATAAATGAAACCAAAACAGCTGCTCGTGTCCACACGTGACCAGAACACGCTCCGCGCTTCAGGAGAGAATTTGCGGTTCTCATTTTCCTTGAGGAGAGAAAGAATTAAAACCAACCCCTCCTCCAGCAGATAAAACATTCCTCCGCTTCCAACCTTACACATACGTACCCACATTTTAATGTATGCAAGAAACACAAATTCATAATTGTTCTGCAATATAATCTGTATCCGATATTAAACACATTCCTGTGACATTTATCTCCCTGATCACAGCTTAATAAAATGATAATTATGACCTTTCCGCGTATTGTCCCTTGAGCGGCATCCTTGCCTTGCCGTCTTGGTCTCTGACAGTCTAGGTCTCACGCACTAAGACCGAGGATGAGTCTGGCTGCTCCCCCGGCACCCCAATGTCCAGAGCAGCGGCTTAGCAACTAGTCATGGAGTGATGTGCCAGCCCACGGGCGTTTGGGCATGCTGAGCATTTACCCACATTGGTACCCACAAGAAGGTGCCCACCCAAGCAGGCCCCAGGGGAGGGGCAGTGTGGGGAGAGGAAGTGGGGGGCAGGGCCAGACGAGGAATGAGCCGGAAATCAGCCCAGATTCAGCTGGCGGACGTACCTGCTCTCACCAAGACTATCCTGATCCACTGAAGGCGCAAACTCTCAGCTCCTTCCTTTCAAGTCCTAGGAGAGGACAGGGGCCGGGTGCTGGTTCCCTCACAGGATATTCGTGGGAGGAACGTTGAGATCCCTCCCGGGGCTACGCTGGGACTCCCCACCCTCTGTGGGACCCGCAGTGGCGTTAGGTGGAGCAGGACGGGCCACGCCACGGGTGGCTGACAGCAGTCATGGTCTCCAACGGTGATCAACGCAGGAGAATGTGCAAGGTCGCCCTGGTGCTTCCCCTTCGGCCGAGCAAGGCCGTGCGCTCTGGGCTGCGAAGGGTTATCCCGCTGTGGGCCCCGGATCCTGGGAGCAGCTGCAGGGAGTGAGGGTGATGAGGGGCTGCTCCTGCTGGGCTGGGCGCTGGAGCCTGCTCCCCAGCGGTCCTGGGCAGGGAGCGTCTGGAAAGAGTCCCACACTCTCGCTCGTCTTTCTGCAATGCCAGGTCTGTCAGGGGAGACACCCCAATAAGCCAGGGGAGTCACACACAGGTCCCTCCTGGAGGGGAGCGTGCGCCATGGCAGCGAGCAGAGGGAGTGTCTGGTAGGAAGGCTGGCCATTGGAGCGTCGCAGGAGGAGAGGTGGGTGTCGGCCGGTCAGACCGTGGCAGGGGCATCGGAGGGGTGGTCCGGCAGGGCCTGGAGATGGCCCGGGCGGGGCAGCCACGCTGGTGCGCTGGGTGGTCGGAGCTCTGGGCTCTGATCCCACCAGAGCGGAGGCCCCACGTGTACCCATGTCTGGACGGAGCCTCATCCAATGGCCTTGGGCATCCAGGCCCCCCTCAGGGGTTTTCTCCTAAGAGGCTCCCTCCTAGGGGCTCCCTCCTAAAAAAATATTTTTAAAAAGAGAGTGGGTTATATATAAGAAGTCGTCACTCTGCGCTTTTAAGGATCATGTCTATGAGCCTTTGGTAGCTATGTGCTTGCCTATCATAGTCACAGTGAGGGATTGATGCGTCCTGCTATTGTTCTAGAATGATCGTGGGTGCATCACTCAGAAATGTTATTTCTACGCCATCAGCCCTTCTGTCAGTGTCTAAGTCATTTCCAGGATGGCACACGTCCAAGTCTAATTCATTAAAACAGGAGAAATCCATAAACACCTGCATGTGGCGGGTTAGTAAGAGGGGGTTTGTTTAGCTGGCTGTTTAGTCCTCTGTTCAAAGCAACACAGTAAGAGAACCAACCGCAGCCGCAGGTCGCCGACCATGCCAGGTTAGTGAGGACTTTCCTTCTGTGAGCTGGGGTATTGTATTTGGGGTGTCAACCCTGGAGCCCCCAGGACGCCCCCGCCCCCGTGAATGTACTGTGTCCTTCTGTTCTCGGTTCACTGGATTGAAACCTGGGACACCAGCGATCGGTGTGGTTTATTTTTTATGTCAGAAACAAGTGAAAAAAGACTGGTTTTAAGGGCAAGTTGTCTAATTTGTGTTTTTATAAACGATCATTATACCCCCACCCCCCAGCCACTCTGTAACCCCGAGGAGTAGAGGGAGGAATGTCTTTCCCCTCCCACACGTCTCTCCTTCATGTAATTGCAGATCTGGTGCTGTGTACCTTTTGGGTAGTTTTTAAGATTTCACCTCCAGTAAATTGAATTTGGGGACACTCTTGTTGGGGATTGGTGGGTTTGGGGTAGAGAAGGGGCAGGCGAGGCACAGAGGCTAGCAGGTGCGGATTGTGAGGATGCTCTGGTGTGGGGAGCGGCCACAGCGTTCGGACAGGTTCAAGCCTCCGACTAATGAGAGGACACGGTCCTCTCCTGGCAAAGCCACATGCAAGTCCTAGCACAGTTACAGCCGAAGGCTATGGCTGTGAGCTTGACCTTATGGTCTGCACCTGTGGCCCACGTGGCTGAGTGATGTGGGCTGCGGGAGGGACAGCACGTAAACAGAGCTGGACCAGGTGCCTGTAACTGAGTGGATTTGAAACCTGCAAGAATGCTGTGACCACGCCCTTCCTTTGCAGCGTGGAATCTGCTATAAAATACAGACTCGGCCCGCAGGCCGTGGCGCTCTCTCCATCACGGAGCAGCGTCCCACCCAGCCCCAGCTTTCTCCTCTTGTTTGGCTTCTCCATCCTTCACCGCCCCCCCTCAGGCTCACCCATGGCTGTGCTGACTTGGCCCATATGGCGCCCAGTGTGGGGCTGAGTATGGGGAACAGGGGCCTGAGTTCAAGTTCACCCGTGGCTAGGCTGGCTCAGCACACCCTGGGAGAAGAAAAGGAAATGGAAGGACAGCATTCCTGTGTCGGGTGGCAGAGACCGTGGGTTCCGGAGGACTGGCCACGGCAGAGCTCAGCCACCTAACCCTGAGTGTGAGGATGTGGCCTGGAGAGAAATGATGTGAATTCTCACTTCTGCCAGTGACAGTCATCTACACAGAAAATCTAAGAGAACCACTGAGAAAGTACTAGAACTTTATGTTTAATACATTGTGTTTGTTTGTTTATTAGAAGTGTAGCGGGTTAAAAATACAAGGTTTACATACAGAAATCAACATCTTTCTTACGCATCGAGCAAAACCAAACTAAAACTGTAATGTAAAAATTAACATTCAAAATAGCCATAAAAGTTCAAAATATACAGAGATAAACACAGAAAAGAAACATGGCAGACGTATGTGAAGAAAAGTTTACTGAAGAAATAAGGTAAGATTTAAAGACTTAATCTTTAAGATTAATAAGATTTAAATAGATGGGGAACTTCACCATGGCACAAAGATGTCAATTCTCCCATATATCAGTCTCTAAATTTGGGGAAATTCCTGTGAAATGGCCAATGGATTTACTTGACAAGCTCGTTCTAAAATTCATCTATCGGGGAAATATCCAAATATGAACAGAGAGATGCTTTGGGTAAAGGATGATGGTGACAGTTTCAGGAGGGAAACATGAATGGCCAACCAGCAGGAAAAGATGCTCAGCTTCACTCATAACCAGAGAAATGCAAAATAAAAAAATAACACGATACCATTATTTTTTTTGTCCCTAAATATCTATCCTTGAGTATCTACAAGATAATTCGAAGTGGGCTCATGTAGTATTGGGTCTGACAGCCAAAAATTAGAAACAATTCAAACTCTCATTAACAAGAAGATAATTTTTAAAGTATGGCACATCGGTCCAGCCGGCGTGGCTCAGTGGTTGACTGTCGACCTAGGAACCAGGAGGTGATGGTTGATTCCCGGTCAGGGCACAGGCCCGGGATGTGGACTCGATCCCCAGTAGGGGGCGTGCAGGAGGCAGCTGTTCAAAGATTCTCATCATTGATGTTTCTATCTCTCTCCCTCTCCGTTCCTCTCTGAAATCAATAAAAATATATTTTAAAAAATAAAGAGCAAATCTGTTCACACTGACACCGTGAATACCCCAAGATACATTGTTCCATATCGAAAGGAAGTTACGGAGTGCCGTGTGCTCTGCGACACAGCTTATGTTAAATTTTTACATAGTTTTGCACGTGTGTCTATGAGATGGTAAAGGCACAGAATAAAAACGAACGGTTAACTTACTCATGAGGACAGGACAAAGATCGGGGATGTGTTAAAACCAAGGGGAACGCCTGCTTTTTCTGTATTGTTTGACGTTTCAAAGTGAAAGTATAACCACATCTCAATTATGTAACTTTTAAAACTCCCTATTTGAAATGCATTCAATGTATTTGCAACACCTTCATTTAAAATGTGTACATCTTCACAGATTTTTATTGGGTAAGGGCTTGAATGCTTTTCAACCTCATTAAAAATAAAAAAAAGTAGATCTTAGTAGGCGGGGTGTGGTCACCGAATCGGCTCTTTCTGGTCTCTCCGTGGGAGACTGGCCCGTCTGCTCTGGCTTTCGGGCACGCACACTCGAACCCTGGCAAGCCTCGCGTTAACTGGTCGTGCTGGACGGAACGCCCAGTGACAGGCCCGCCTTACTCAGCTCGTCAAGGCTCTTCTGGAGGCACAAGGGCTCCAGCGAAGGGGTGGCCTTTTTGTCAATAGCGAACCGGACTTTCGGCTTCTTTTTCAAGAACTCCGCGTAGCTCTGCTCGGGGATAAACTTCCAAGTGCCCCAGACCTCACTGTACTGCCGTGGGAAGCGCCTGAAAAGCGGGACCACCACCGCTTCCGGGCCGACGTACGATATCTGGTTATTGGAAAAGCCGTCAAGATAAGACGGGACAAAGTCGCACGCCCAGAGATTGAAATTTCTCGAAACGTGTTGCCTTTTTTCCGGGGCGACCTTCCTCCGTCCCAGGCCCTGGGGAAGAATCGAGAAGATGAGAAAAACATGCAAGGTCTCACAGCTCTGAGGTCTTCAGCACAAGCAGCCACATGACAGCCTACGCTTAAGTGTACAGTATGGCAGCCCGGCCGGCTGGCGGGCCTCAGGGGATGAGGATCGACCTGTGAACCAGGAGGTCACCGTGCGATTCCCGGTCAGGGGACATGCCCGGGCTGCGGGCTCCATCCCCAGTAGGGCGCGTGCAGGAGGCAGCCGATCCATGATTCTCTCTCATCATGGATGTTTCTATCCCTCTCTCCCTCTCCCTTCCTCTCTGACATCGATAAAAATATATTTTAAAAAATGACCTGCTAAAAATGTGACCCTGAAATATATTGAGAGTTTAAGAATCTACAAAAAGGAAGAGAGGGTGGAAGGGAGGCGGAAAGGAGGGAGAAAAGGAGAAAAACATGGAGATCCAGAGAGAGAGAGAGGGGCCAGTCTGGGACTTGGAGAGTTTCATGCATTTGTTTTTCTGTGACCTCTTACGAGGTTTTATAATGACCCTGTTCCCGTGTTGAGGTTAGTGCTCTGTGCTCAGCACATCTGAGGACATCAGGAGCCCTGAGGCCGCTGCCCCTTCGGGGAGGGCCGGGGCCGGGATACTCACGGAGTCCACGTAGAATCCGGAGCTCCGGAGGCAGTGCCGGTTGTCGTGCACGGAGAAGGGGAAGTTGTTGTGGGCCGCTTGCTGGGAAGGCAAAGGAGCGGAGAGAGGCGCACGTCAGGCCCAGCCTGCTCGGGGCACCGCCCACAGTGGCGGGAGGCAGCCGGGAGGCCAGGTGACACCGAGTAAGCAGGAAGCCACCTGCCAGCGGCCTGGCTCAGTGGTTGAGCATCAATCTATGAACCACCAGGTGGCAGTTCAATTCCTGGTCAGGGCACAGGCCCAGGTTACAGGCCCGATCCCCAGTGTGGGGCGTGCAGGAGGCAGCCGGTCCATGAGTCCCTCTCACCGTTGATGCTTCTGTCTCTCTCTCCCTCCGTCTTTCTCTCTGAAATCAATAAAAAGATATTCTTTTAAAAAGATGAATCCACCACCGGGGATGGAACCAGCCCAGAAGGGTGAGCTCAGAGGCGCGCACGTCAGCTCAAGGCTTTGACACTCACCCCTGATTGCTAATCATTATAACTCCCTCTCAGACCCCTTCTTTGGAGGTGAGAATAAAAAGGTGACAGCTCGCTCATGGACCCGAGAGCGGGGAAGGAACTTTGAGGCCTTCTGGGCCCTGGGACAGGTGGGCCCGCCAGGTGTGCCATCCACGCTGCTGCTCCTGCAGGCCCCTCCATGCCCCGAAGCTGCCCAGGGACTGGCCGGGGAGGCAGGACACGCGTGTTAATGAACGGGGAGTTGGAACCAAAGGTCCACAGACCCGCCTGACGTGATTGTCTGGCCCGGGAGGTAGTAGTTCCTTGCAGACACGACCTGGGTGACCAGGGGACCAGGTGGGAGGCTACCAGCATTCAGGAGTCCAGGCATGGACAGCAAGCAGGTCCTTCCGAGGGGAATTACCCGGCCCCCAGGGCCACGGCCAGCGCGCCGGACGCACCTTCTCCCGGGCTTTGTAGATGGGCGGCAGCTTCTCTTCTATTTGCCAGGAGAAACAAGGGTTGAGGGGCTCTTTGAGCATCACGCTGGTGATGGACTCCGGGGTCTTCTGCGTCACTCCAATGTGAGGGAACTAGGAGACAGCACGCGCCTCGGTTAAAGCCAGGCACCTCTGCCCGGCCGGCGTGGCTCAGGGGTTGAGCATTGATCTCTGAACCAGGAGGTCATAGTTTGATTCCAGTCACAGGCACAGGCCCGGGTTGCGGGCTCGATCCCCAGTAGGGGGTGTGCAGGAGGCAGCCGATCCATGATTCTCTCTGATCACTGATGTTTCTATCTCTCCCTCTCCCTTCCCCTCTCTAAAATCAATTTTAAAATAATAAAAATAAAATAACAGAAAATGAAATAAAACCAGGCACCTCGGAATGCCTGAGCCAAGCAGCAGGGCTTCCTCCGTGGTGATTAAAAGGCAATTCGGGTGCGTCTGGCATGGGATGGGAATGGCGTGGTTTGAAGTGTTCTTTCCAAGACAAAAAATACTGTCCGTGGCCCAAGGCCATCGCTGCCGGTTGTTTCCAGTTTCGGGGGCCACCCTGCTGCGCTGGAGCCGGGAAAGATTCCTGCGGCCGGCCGGGTGGGTGCGAGGGTGCGGCCCTGCAAGGCTGAGCCCTTGAACTCCAAGACACACGCATGTGTAACGTGAGACCTTTCTGTTCAGTGTGTTCCCTGTACTTGGGAACAAGACCCAGCCATGTTCACAGGGGGAGCCAGGCCCCTGCAGGCATGAGGGGGACCCTCAGACACGGGGAAGCTGAGGCGTGAAGGGCCCCAGGTGAGGAGGCAGGTGGTAGAGAGTGGAAGGTGGCTGGGGGAAGGGCCTTCCTACCCCGTAGGAAAGGGAGGGAGGGAAACAGGACTGGGCGGGGGAGGTGGTCCTGACCCGACACACCTCAGCCAGCCCCACAGAGCGCTCTGGACATGGCCAGCCTCTCAGAGTTGCCCTGAGTTGGGGCGAGGGGACAGGGCCTTTGTGTGCCCTCATCTCTCAGCCCCTGGACGTGACCTTGGGAGGCAGCAATCTGAGTTGCCTCTGCAGGTAGAGGTGCTTGTATCTGATCAGATGAGCACTTGGTTGTAAATATTGTTCCGGGGGGGGGTGGGGGGGGCGGGGAGTGACAGGAAGGGGAAGGAGAGAGTAATCCAAAGTAACTGAGGTGTAATAGGTTTCAATGTGTTTAAAGTAAATGTAAGTCATACAAAGGACCCCCCAACCCAGAGGCCTGCCCTGGCCTCCTCCAGTCTGGCCCATCAGCCCCCTATCCCAACACTGCGGCCCCTCCCCCCCGTGGGTGCCCTTCCCACATCAGCAATGATCCTTCACCCGCCTTCGTGACAGCCAATGTGAGTTCATTTGCATTCTGCGAGTCTGTGGGCTAAATTGCTGTAAAAAATGGCTCTAGCATTTTAATTTCACTCTTTTAAAGTATGTACTTAATGGCTATACCCTGGCAGCTGTGAAATAACCCTCTGTTCGCTGGGGTAACGGTGAAATAGCGCCTTTAGCTCGTTGGCGGTGAAGCTGTTGCTGCATCCAGCCTCTCAGGGCCTGAAATACTAAACAGGAAGGTGACGGTGTGGGAGGCCTTTCCCACCTGGCAGAGGCCAGACTGCCCCCAGCAAGGTCAACTGCAAAGCGAAGGTCACTTCTACCGCGGCCATCACTATCCTCTCCAACGGGCCACCGGCCCGAAGCTGAGAATTTCTCTCATTTTCCCAACTCGTCCACAGTCACTTGGGGAAACTTCAAGGTCAGCACGATTCCCTATGCTCCTAGGTGCTGGCAGGAGAAAGGCCCCCACCAAAGGCTCAAAGCAGACGGACTCAGGGGGACACCGTCTGTGTGGCTGAGGCGGGGTCCTGGGCACACTCCTGGGGTTGCAATAGGAGGTGAGCCGTTCATTCTCGCTTCCTCCCCGGTGACAGAAGCCGGGCCCGGTTTGGGGTGGCAGTGTGGCCGGTTAAAAGTACCTCCCCTGACCGGTCAGCGGAGCTCAGGGGCTGAGCGTCGACCTATGAACCAGGAGGTCACGGTTCAATTCCCGGTCAGGGCACAGGCCCGGGTTGTGGGCTCCATCCCCAGTGTGGGGCGTGCAGGAGGCAGCCGATCAGTGGTTCTCTCTCATCACTGATGTTTCTGTCTCTCTCCCTCTCCCTCCCTCTCTGAAATCAATCAAAATATATATTAAAAGAAAAATCCCTCCCCAAACTCCTTTGCAGCTAAATGGCCATGTGATCCCATGAGACAGAGCAGAAGTGGGGCTCCCGGGAGCGTGGGAATGGGGATCAAGGGCAGTGACGCGGCCACACAAACCTGACGCCATCACGCGCCCAGGCCCTCCGGAGGCTGTGCAGGGGCAGTGTCACCTCGGAGGAGGGGCAGACACGGCTGACAGGTGCCTTCTGTCTGCTGCCCTTTGACCTTCCCCTCATTGCACACCTGAGTCCCACAGCCTCACACAAAGATGTCAGAACAGAAGGCCAGAAACAGTGGGGGCCTCTGCCGACGCCCTGGAGCAGGGTACCGGCCCTCAAACGCCAACTTCTGGATTTACTTTTACTCGGGAAACACAAACCCCTATTTGGTTAAGACACTGTCTCCGGCTTTCCATAGCATCCAGTCCAACACAATCCTAACTGACCCTGCAGGTTTTAGAAAGAGGGACGCTACTCAGACTGAGAAGCGTACGCTTTTTTCTCGTCATCACGGATTAGTGTGACGTAGCTCACACTGTTTCCCATTTCCCCTCGGCAAGTCTTTCTGCATTGAAGCCAGGGTGCGTGAAAGCGTGTGTGTGTGTGTGTGTGTGTGTGTGTGTGTGTGTGTGTGTGTGTATGCTGGCGGGGCCAGCATGGCACGCAGAGGTGTGGGGTACGCTTCTCGGAGATGGCAAGAGAGGGACAGGCCCACCGGGCTCTGCAAGTGACATGAGAGAGAGACAGGTCCGAGGAGGAGCGTGAAAAGGTGACATTTACTAATGACCGAGAGGGGAAATGGTGCGTTTCTGGCCTCTTCCCATTTCACAGCCCGGCGGGGCGAAGGGGACCAGACAGGAGGCCCAGGGAATGTGTTTAGAGGGTTCCAGAGTGATGGTGATTCCCCGACAGATGTCTTCTGAGCCCCTCCTGGGCACAGATCCCACCCTCGGCACTCGGGATGCAGTCAGGAAGTAAGAGAGACCAAGGTCCCAGCGCCCACGACGCTTAAATTCTAGCAGAGGAGACAGACGGCACCCGGGGTGTGAGGAGGAGGCGCTACCAGGTTCCCATTTCATAGATGGAGAAACTGAGGCTGGTGAAGTAAGTTACCAAGTCAGGCCACAGTAAGCAGCAGAAGCGGGACCGGGACTCGGGTCTGTGCCCTGACCACGCCCTGAGAGAGGTAAGACGGGGCCCCTCTTCCTCACCCATCTTCCGTCCTTGTCTAAGGGCGGGTTGAAGCGTCTCCCTTTGGCCATGTCCTGCAGGAACTGGGGGGGCTGAGGTGGGCTCCCTCATCTCCCCATCGCCTCCTGAGCTCTCCGCACCTGGAGCCGCTCCTCATCTTCCTCAGCCGCTCCCAGGCGGGGCCATGGGCAGTGCCCACGCTGTCATAGAAGCAAGCCTGCCGTCACAATGGAGGAGGAGTGTGGGTCTTCTAAGCCCCCTGAGAGTTCCTGCCCCCGGCTCCCGGGAGCTGCCGCTCCCCAATGTAGGAGGAACCCCACAAACGTATCAGACACGTGCGGGCCCGTCTTGAGATGGTGGCGAGTTTTTATTATCCTTGAGTCAATAATGTTTGTGCTGAATGTTCCCACAGGAACCGTCTGCCCCAGCCTCATAGCTTTCAGAGAAGGAAAGTGAGTCTGGGCTGGGGGTGGCCTCAGCCCCCTCCGTGCCCCTTCCTCGGCCCCCTGTGTCCCAGCTCAGACGCACTGCCTGGAGGGACTCAGCTCGCTCGCCTGACTGCGCGCCTGAGGCCAGCAGAGGTAAGTCCCGGGTGATTTTGAAGTGCCCGGTGCTGTGCTACACTGAGTGCTGCCGCACGATTCCATTTCATTTCTTTTCCACGACCACCTGTGGCATTTAGTCAGAGAACAAGGGCCGGTGACCAATGGATGGGGCCCTAGGTCAAGGGATGGCTCCAGGGCCCGAGCCTCCCCCAGGCCATCTGGTCTCCCCCGGCTGCCAAGTGGCTCCAGGTCCCCGGCCTGGACTCAGTCCCACCTCAAGGCCGCGGGAGGCCCGTTAGAACTGCAGCCTCGTTCTCCAGTACCTCTGGCGTCTCCCCGGTGCTTAGTCTTAACGTCCCGTCACCAAGGCTTATGGTCGCGGGGTGAGGTGGGTCCCGATTGCCCCGCTTTTGAAGTAAAGCTGGTGTAAAGTTCCGACCAGTTATCCAAGACAAGCAAATGGAGTGAAGGAAACCGGCCAGGGAAAATAGAATTCTGTGTTTCTTCGGCTGGGATTTCTCGGTCCCAGATTGGGATAGGCTGTTCCTGATGGATGTGCCTGTTTTCAGAGGGTTGAGTTACGAGGCTGAACTTGGCGGCCCATCGTTCTGAAAACAAACCTCGGAGCACGCGGGGCCCTGGGATCCACCCCTGGGGCTGGGAACACCGGAGGGTCAGGCCCGTCCTGCCTGCGCACACGCTGGGGCCGCGTGGAGCGCAGAGGTAGGGAGGACCCACGGGAGTGTGTGTGAGCAGCACTGAGCACACGCAGGGTTTACTCACTCAGCAAGTTTACTGAGCACTTACTTTGCCCGGCACCGTTTTACACAGCGCGAAGGCCACCACCAAGACCAGTTCTTTATAAAGAGCAAATCATGCCCTGGCCGGTGTGGCTCAGTGGATACCGTGTCCACCTGTGGACCAAAGGGTCCGGGCTTGACTCCAATCAAGGGCAGGAACCTCGGTTGTAGGCTCCTCCCTGGCCCTGGGCCCTGGTCAGGACGCGTGCAGGAGGCAGCCAATTGATGTGTTTCTCCCATCAATGTTTCTCTCTGTCTTTCCCTCTCTCTTCACTCTCTCTGATAATCAATGGAAAAATACCCTCGGGTGAGGATTTAAAAAAAGCAAGTCATGAATTTACCAGTGCGTCAATTGGCCAGGACTCCGAGTTGTTGACTAGCCAACAGTTCTTTTCCATGAGCTGGCCACCGCGTTCGTAGCCCATTTTCTCCCCTCAACCCCCCACCCGCCGGGCCTGCTTTGACATGACCGCAGTTCTGTACTTGGGCTCTTAGATCTTTCTCGTGTGATGTGTTGGGATGGTATGAAAGATGGGTGTGCCCCTCTCTTCCGTGTGTTTTCAGAGCAGGGCGCCAGTCCTTGTTGTCATGAACATTTGCTGTCTTTTGCAGGACGGGAGGTGGTGGAATTATGGGTAGAATTATGGGTGTGGTGCAGGAAGGCTTTCACACATGGGTCGGCACATGCCCCCCGTGGTGCCCCCACGAAGCCCAGACCCTGCACTCACGGGCATGCTCCCGCCTGTCATTCCACCCACCGAGAGCTCCGCCTTCGCTCACGTCCACGCATCTGGACGATTTCGCTTGCACGGGGGAAGGCCACCGTCTGCAGAGAAATGTTGGGGCTCTGAGAACTTCCTGGGCACCTGAATGGTGGCACGCGTTCTCCTTGCCCTGCAAGGCATGCGATCTGCATTCTTTCTGCAAATAGCGACCCCCTTGCGGTGACTCAGTTGCACTTTTTGGTCATGATCCACGACTCCCGTGGAACTGACGGAAATTGTCGTGGAGGCACAGACCACGCTGTCCCGAAAAGTCCTTGGCCGCTGTGGCGTGAAGCGCAGTCTTGGTCTCACCCTGTGCTGCCAACCGTGTGGACGTGGACCGCCTCTCTCCTTTCTGCGCGAGAAAATAGGCGACACCCCGTGAGCTACAGGAAATGAGACTCGACCAGCGTGGGGGTTCATACACTGAAAGGCAGGGACTCGCTGCAATATTTATGGAAACCCTCGACGCTGCGGGCAAGCGTGGCACCCCAAATTCAAACGAGAAGAGACACTGTCGCCGTGAGGACGGGATCGGTGATGCCCGGCTGAAAGGCAAACTCCTTACTAGTGCACTTTCCAGCCAGACCCTCTCTGGAGAAGCTTGGTGCTCGGTGGTCATTTGGAGAACCGGTCACGCAGAGAAGCGCTCGGCCTGGCACAGGGCGCGGCACAGGGAGAGGCCGGGAGGACCCCCGGCACAGGACGGAGGGACCTGCGGAGATGGGAGAGGTGGCCAGGGCGGTGGCGGGGCAAGGAAGAGAAGGCGGCTACAAGGAGCCTGGGAGCCGGGGAGTCGGGAGCCCATCCCGCACGCGGAGAGCCCGTCGGAGGCCCTGGTGCTGGGACGAGAGCGTGGGTCACTCAGGAACCGGAGAGGAGGCCACCCTCTGTGACCAAGGACCCTTGAGTTGGCGCGGGGGTTGTAGGAGGAGCAGGAGGCAGTGTGAGCACCGGGGCAGGCCCCTTGCCCTCTGTGACCTTGACCCCTGGCCAGTGTCAGCAGGCAGGGGTGTGGGGAACATGCAGCAACACAAAGCCAATTGAGGGCGCTGGCTTTCTCAGGGGAAGCACCTTCGTAAACTCACCCTCAGATGCAGCAGGCACCTCAGGTTTATTCTTCCTCCGAATTCTGACAAGCTCGGGGGGGGGGGGGTGGGGGGGTTC